GTGGGTGGGTGGGGGTGGGGGTGGGGGGGTGAGTGGTGGTGGGGTGTGTGGGTGGGGGCTGGGGTGGGGGGGTGACCACGCGAGTGTATATGCGTGTGTACATGTGTGTGTGCATGCGTGTGTTCATGCGGCAGCCCAGTCGGTGTTGCTGGGTTCAAGGTACCGCCATCCCCAGCACCGGCTGCTCTCCCTCCCCTCTCCTGCCTGCCTGCCTTCCCTCCACGCCATGCCTCCCCGTCCTCCCGTGCTTTCCTCCCCAGGTCAAGATCACCGTGTACGAGGGGGAGCGGGCCAAGGTGGAGGACAACTCGCCGCTGGGCACATTCGACCTGACGGGTGGGTGGCAGACAGTAAGAGAGCTGCAGACCAGTGGGTGGCTGCCTGCGGTGCTGGCTGCGGACAGCATGGGAGCTGTAGGCGGGCGGGTGGGCGCCTGCCGTGGCGGCTGCGGCCAGCACGAGCGCTGCATGCCAAGCGCGGGTGCGAGGTGGGCAGGGGCCAGGCCGGCAGGCCAGCCCGACCCTCACCAGCCTGCCCAGGCACCTGCTCCACTCCTCCACGCCACTGCCCTTGCCGCGGCTCTGACCCCCGTGCTGCCCGCAGGCATCCCGCCCGCGCCGCGCGGCATCCCGAAGATCAAGGTCTCCTTCTCCATAGACGCCAACGGTGCGGCTCCTCCTTTGCCTTCAAGCTCGCTGCAGCCGCGGCATGCGTTTGTGCGCGCGTGCATGCGCGTGTGTGCGCCATGTGCGTTGCGGTATCTGCTGGGAGCGATGGCGGTGTATGGTGGGGGGGGTTGGGCCCCAGCTGGGAGCCCATCCAGCCCTGGCTTCCTACCCGCTCCTGCCCCCGGCGCCTGCAGGCATCCTGAACGTCAGCGCCAAGGACACTGGGTCAGGCAAGGTCAGCCAGATCACCATCACCGAGACCGGCAGGCTCAGGTGGGGCTTGGCGGGCTGGGGCCGCAGCCTGGGCCCTCGCATCACGCAACCACCACCCTCCTGCCTGGCCCCACGCCCTGCCGCGCCTGCACCCCCAGCCCCGCCCATGCCCTTGTTCCCTGAGCTTGCGCATGCCGACCTCCTCCACGTGCTCGCCTCCAACCCCCTCTGCACATGCCTCTCTCCCTGCAGCGCCGACGAGCTGGAGCGGCTGGTGCAGGATGCGGAGCGGCACAGGGCTGAGGACGAGGAGGTGAAGGAGAAGGCGGAGGCGCGCAGCTCGCTGGAGAACTTCCTGTATGGGTGCGGTACCGCTGCGGTACATGGGGCAGTACATGAGGCTGTGCATGGTGTGCATGGCGTGGGATGTGTGGAGATCGGGTCGAGGACGGGGTGCTGGCTGCGTTGACGGGCTGCGCTGCCAGCTGCGCTGCGCTGTGGCATGGCAGAACGCTTGTGCAGTGCTGCGCGCAGCCACCTCGCACACATGCCTCCGCCCCCTTGCTCCACCTCCTGTACCGAAAACGTCCTGCCTGTCACCCTCGCAACCGCCCGGTCGCTCCCCGCCCCGCCCCGCAGGGTCAAGCACTCGCTGGCGGACCAGAGCATCAAGTCCAAGCTGAGCCCCGACGACATCCAGAGGGCGGACGACGAGGTGGAGAGCGCGCTGCGCTGGATCGCCACCAACCAGGCAAGGCCCGCCCACCAGCCCGGTGGCGGCAGGGTGGCACGCCTGGCGCCCGCCCGCTCTCATGGGGCGGCAAGCAGGCTCCTGTGCTCGTTCCCTCCCTGCCTTCTCCCCTGCCTCCTCCTCCTTCTGCTTCCCACCAGCCTCCTTCACCTGGTGGAACCCTGCCCCGCCCCCAAACCCCGCTCCGCTCCCCACCAACCTGCCCCACTCCCGACCCCGCCCCGCTCCCCCTGCCGCCTCCCTACCCCGCCGCAGCTGCTGGATGCTGAGCGGTACGAGGAGAAGAAGAAAGAGGTGGAGGCGGTCACTGCCCCCATTTTCTCTGGCCTGTACGGCGAGGGAGGCGGCGGCGCGGGCGCGGGCGCTGGCGCGGGCGCTGGCGCGGGTGAGCCTAGGAGCCTGAGAGATTCCCCGCCGGCCTGCTGGCCGGCGGCGGGTAGTGCACACGGCTTGTGCGTGGTTCACATGCACTGTGCCACCTGCTGGTGGCGCCGCCCAACTTGCTAGCTCGCTGTTGGATCGGCTGTTGTGAGCGTGCTGATTTGCTGCCTGCCCGGCTCGTGCTGCAGGCATGGGAGGCATGGGAGGCATGGGAGGTGAGTGTGGGGCACAGCTCGGTTGCATTTAGCTATTGCCCGTGGCGTGGGTGTGTGCCCTCATCCTCTGCTGCCGTGCTACCGTGCCGCAGGCATGGGCGGAATGGGTGGCATGGGCGGAATGGGGGCCATGGGGGGTATGGGCGCAATGGGCGGCATGGGAGGTGAGGCGTGCCACGCCTGGTGTGCAGCCATGCCACCTGGCTGGCCCCCCCGCACCCCCAGACCGCGCCCTGGGCTGCGCCTTGCTGCTGGTGCATTTCGCTGCCATCGCAATTCTTATGTGTAGGGCTCACTTGCAACGGTTCCGCCCCGGCTCCCTGCCTGCCTCCGCACCCGGGATCCTGCTGCAGGCATGCCCGCCATGGCTGGCATGGCGGGAATGATGGGAGGCATGGGCGGCATGGGGGCGGGAGCGGCAGGGTTCGGCGGCGGCGGCGGCGGCGCAGGCGAGCCCGCCGCTTGCGCAGATGCCAGCTAGCTGTTGGCGTTTGCCGGGGCCCTCGCTCCCAATGCCATGCTGCCCTAGCCGACTGGCAGCACACTTGCTTGTCATGCCAGCTGCCCGGTGCAAGCTTTCGCCCGGTTGAAGCTTTCGGCTCGGTCTGGTCGGCCTGCTCCCAACGCTGCCCTCCTGCTTGGCGCTGCTCTGCAGGGGCCTATAAATTTGACGACATGGGTGGCAGCAGCGACGACGACGACGTGCCGCCGCTGGTGCCACCCGAGGAAGGCGGGTACGGCGGCGGCGGCGGCTTTGGTGGCGCGGGCGTGCCCTACACGCCGGCCGGCGCCGCGGGAGGGGCTGCCTATGACAGCGACGATGACGATGACGGGCCTCCTGGTGCGGGGAGCGGTGGTGGTGTGGAGTGCAGAGGGCAGGCCAGAGTGTGCGCGCGTGTGTGGTGGGCGGGTGAGGCGGATGGCTCCTGCCATGGGCATGCGGTATTGGCAGCAGCAGGAGGCGTGCTGGCAGCGGCTTGGTGCTGCCGAGCAGCAGGGTCGGCAACCCGCCTGCTTCCACCACCACCTGCAACACACCTGCCTCCCTGCCTGCCTGCTCCCTGTGCAGCGCTGGAGGAGGTGCAGGACGCCGCACCAGGCGGGTACGGCGCCGGCGGCTTTGGCGCAGGAGCAGGCGGCTTTGGCACCGGGGCCGGCAAGTTTGGCGGAGCGGGCGGCGTGGGCGGGTTTGGCAAGCCGGCGGCGGCTGCGTTTGATGCTGGGGACGACTCAGACGATGATGAGCCTCCAGGTGAGAGAGGAGGAGGGAGGCGGCCTGCTCTAGTGCGGGCTCCTTATGCTGCCCGTTGGCATTGTTCCGCTGTGTGCAAACGGCACATGCCAGCGGAGCGAGACTGCCGCGTGCTGCCGTGCCAGCCTCCAGTGACGGATGTCTCCGCCGCTGCAGGCCTGGATTGAGTTGTGGCGCCAGGGAGCCTCGAGGCAGAGCAACGGCGACTCGTCAGCTCCCGCCCCCTTCAAAGAATAAAAATTTGCCTCAGCATCGAAAGCCTTGCACGCCGCTTGAAATGTTGTGTGATGACTCCCACCAGCCCGCGCTGTACCGGACCGTCAGGCGGCAGGGCGGGCGGGACAGGCGGTAGGCAAGCTTTTGCGCCAGAGCAAACCGCGTGGGACAGGCGGTAGGCAAGCTTTTGCGCCAGAGCAAACCGCGGCCATGCCGCTTTTACGCCTTTTACGCCATGCCGCGCAGACGCAGCCTCTCTCTCCTCTTTCTGCTGACGACTCTCGGCTGCGCGTCGGCAAAGAACTGGGCAGACTGGGCAGAGTTCTTGACGGACCCACAAAACTCCATGTTCGTCGTCAAGGCAAGCTCCACAAGGAAAAACGAAACACGGCACACAGGCCGGGGGGGGGGGGGGGGGGGCAGTTTGCCTCTGGGCTTGTGGCCACGAGTGCGTGCCTCGCAACAAGGGGCAGATGTGGTGATCAAACAGGGGCGCCCAAGGAGTGCACGAAGTGCAGGCGGTCCGGGTTCATTGCCGCGAGTCCGTGTACTGGAACCCGCCGCCGACGCCCAGCCGTCGCACACACCGCCCCCAACCACGGCTGCCACCTCCTTTGCTTGCTTGCTTGCCCGCAAATCCTGACAACCTCCTCCTGCATGTCCGATCCCGCCATCGCCACTTTTGACCTGGATCTCTGTCCCAGCCTGCTGGCCGCCTCGCAGCGGCTTCAAGGCGGTGCCGGGCTCGTCACTGCTGCCTGCGAGCCTGCATGCGCCGAGACCATTTACGCCGTGAGCAGTGCTGGTACTGCGGCCAGGCCAATGGGGGCCACGAGGCCTCACGGCTGTGCGCCGTCTGCGACTGACTGCAGCACTTCTCGAGCCGCCGTGGTGGATCATCGCCTTGGCCCGCCCACCTCCTTCCGCTGAACCCCGAGTGTCGGTCCGAGCTGACCGCCGCCTTCAATGCCGACAGCGGCCGCGAGGGCTTCATGCTGTCCAATTTCCTGGCCTCATGCGCGGTGGTTCATGCGGTGAGCGCAGGCAGCGGCACCGACCCCGCCAACAACAGCAAACCCACAGCACCAGATTCACCCTGCCGCAGCCCGCCTCCCCCCCATCACCGCCACCACTTCCCTAACCTGCGCCTGCAGAACAAGGGCAAGACCTGCAAGCAGCTGGACGTCAACTGCGGGAGCTGCCAGCCTGCGCCCAATCGCCACGTGTGCAAAGCCTGCAGGGGCAACACATGGAAGCTGTCTGCTGGCAAGGTGAGTAACCTCGGCGCCTGCCCCTGGCGAAGCAGCCCATAGCTCATGCCCGCCCTCAGCGGCGGCAGTTGGGCAGGAAGCGCACGCGCCCACGCCTCCTGCCGTGCCTCCCGGCGGGCCGTTGCCACCCGCTGCAGACCTGTGTGCGGAAGCGGTGCACGGAGCTGGATCCCAAGTGCTCCACCTGCCAGCCAGGCGCCCGCTGGAAGTGCCAGGCCTGCAAGCAGGTGCACCGGCTGGTGAACGGCAAGTGCAGGAAGGCGGCGTGAGCGGCTGGGCACCTGGGCTGTTGCCTCTCGACAGGCAAGGCAGCGCCCAGCCTGGTCATTCATGATCGTGTTTGGCGCAGCTACCCACACTTTCAACCACCTGCCACAAAGAAGACAGGCGGTGGATGGGCCTCCCCTGGTGGCCGTATCCGTACTTTTTCCATCCCTTACTTTCCCTCATGTTGTGTAAATGTGTCAATCCTTGATTTGAATTGTCCTACTCGCACCAAGCTGGAAACTGACAATTTTCCATTTCCTCTCTTCTTTCTTCGTTCCATCACTTCTTGAAAGCTGCTGCGCATGTTGCTGCATGTGTCCCCCGCAACCCTTGAACAACGGCAACCGCTCTGCCGCCGCACCGAGCGGATTGGTTACAGGCAGGGCGGGGCAGCTGGTGGCCGCTCATCGCAAGGGCGCAGGCAGCTCGCTGCTCGCTGCACGCTGCTCGTCCCCTCCTCACGCCCCCCTCACAGCTCGATCTTGGCCCCGCTGAAGTCCATCTCCGGGTGCTGCGCCTTGAAGCGCTCGATCAGGTCCGCCTTGTGCTGCTCCTCGCTGGTGGGCAGCCCCATGGCCTTCTGCCGCTGGTCGTACCTGCGGCCCGGGGTAGGGCGGGGCATGAGCCAGTCGGCGGGGGCAGGCAGGGCGCGCAATGGGCAGGGCAAGGGCAGGCTGGGACGCATGGGCAGGGCGGGGGCAGGCAGGGTGTATGGACAGGGCGCAGGAAGGCAGGGCGCATGGGCAGGCGGGCGCATGGGCAGGCACCGCTTGCTCACATCATCTTCTCCACCGTGGCGCGCATCTCGGGCTCTGCGGCGGCGGGCAGGCATGCGGCGGGGCGGGTGGGAGCGCCGGAGCGGGGTGACGGCAGGCGCGGGCTGCCGGGGCGCTGTGGGCGGGATAAGCTCGAGCAGCAACGCAGCCCTGCTCGCTCCGCCTACTCCACACCCTGCTCCCCCAGCCACCTTCCAACCCGGACCCCACTCACCCAGGTCTGTCAGCTTGCTGGCCTCTGGCTCCACCTTCTGCACATCAATCTCGGGCTGCCCCTGCACCACGCACCGCCACCACTGCATGCCGTCCTTCTTTGTAAGCGTCAGCTCCAGCTGCCGCCCGTCCACCACGCTCCACAGGCACTCGTCGGGCTGGACAGACGCAAACAGCGGGCCGTCTGGCAAGGGGCAGGGCGGGAGGCAGCACGGCGCGGCGGCAGCGGCGTCAGAACCGAGTCGGGGCGGGCCGTGTGGCGCACAAGAAGCGGTACAGTGCGGCAAAGCTGGCTGGCTGGGGGTGGGCAGCCAGGCAGCCCTCATGGCACGCACGCCTGGGCGTGCCCGCACCCGCAAGCATGCTGGTGTTTGAGGCGCGTGCAGGGGCAGCTGTCCCCTCCACGCGGGCCACCCCCAGCAGGCTCACCCAGTACCGGCGGCTGGCCCTTGAGCCCGACCCGCAGCTTGTCGCGGGAGATGGCGATGTCACAGGCGCGGCCCTTGGTACCGGGCGGTACCGGCACAACCACCGCCACCTCGCCCAGCGTCTGGGTCCAGGAGTAGGATCCCATGTCGGCGCCATTCCCCACATTGGGCTCTGTGGGAAGCAGCGGGAGAAAGGCGGTGCAGCCGGGTCAGCTGGCTGGATGCGACCAAGAGCAGGTGAGGCAGCGGGGAGAGCTGACACGACGGGGCAGGTGGGCAGAGAGGGGCATTGGTGGGCAGTGCTGCAGCACAAGGCTTGCGTCAGCGGCCAGCTTGGCAGCTCCAGCCCTGCGGCAGGACTCACTCATGCCGGTGCCCTCCTCCTGCTGCGCCTCCTCCCCGGCGCTCCCCGCGGCTGGCGCCTGCCCTGCGTCCGGCTGGGCACGCGCCGCTGCCGGCTCCGCAACAGGCAGCGGCGGCTGTGCGGGCGGGGCTGCTGCAGCCGGGCCGGCGGCGGGCGGCGAGGGCGCCGCTGCTGCCGACGGTGCGGCTGGGGGTGTGGACACGGGCGGCGTGGCGGTTGCGCCGGCCGGCAGGTGGCGCTGCGCCAGCTGCGCCACGGCGGCGGCGGCGCCGGGCTGCGCAAAGAAGGTGCTCTGCTGTGCCAGGAAGTCGAGCGCGGCCCCCAGGAAGGCCTGCGGCTCGGATCCCAGCTCGCCATACACCTGCAGTTGGGCATGGCAGCACCAGGTTAGGCATGGCAGCACCGGCTTAGGCCAAAGTTCAGCAGCCTGTGACCAAGGCATGGAAGGTGGCACATCGTGGCCGGGTTCGCCCACCCTGACGGCTGTGGGATGCATCACGGCAGCCGGCTGCGCCTGCATCTCAGGACTCGCCTTTTCAAAGTAGTGCTTGGTGTAGGTGGCGCTGTCGATTTCCTCGATCATCGCGCCCGAAACTGACCGCGGAGTGTGGGGATGCACGCCTGCAGGACGGCGGTGCACACGGCTGGCTTCAGAGGGGCAGCAGTCTCCAGACATGCAGTGGCTGCAGGGGTCCAAGGCTTCAGTTGCACCAAACTGGCCGCGGGTCGGGTCGGCGCTGGCGGCGGCGGCGGCGGGCCAACGGGCGATTGCGTTTCATGCCTTGTGGAAGCCCGGCGGCGTGACCAGTCACCACAATTCACCTTGCTGAGTGCTATGGGGAGCTGTGTGGGGAGGAAGAGGCGATCGCCTGTGAATGCCGCTCAGATGTGGGGGGCCTGGCGAATGGCCACGCTTGGCGATCAGACCTTCAGGACCTGGAAGACTCGCTGGGCGCTCGCAGGCGGGTGGCATCGCGTTTTCTGGAAGCCCACAGAGCAAAGCACGCCCCGCAGGCACGTCTCCTGCCGCTAGACTCCGCGGAAATCTGTGGCGAGCCGCACATTCACCTTCACAGTCCACGTTGTGGCGTAGCGAGAGACGTCCAGCGGGCTTGGGCCCCTGGCGACGCCCCGAGGCAGAGCCCTGCCGACACGCGCCTCCCAGCCTGCTCTCCCGCCCCGTTCACACACCGCCCGCCTCATTGCCACCTTGAGACCACGCACAGCCCCGCCGAGACAGCACGATCTCCCGCAGTCACACACGAGCTGCACGCGATTCGGCAGCCAGACGCCCCTCCCGCGCCCCCCAGACCAGCCTGAAGCCTTGATAGGTGGGTAGGGAGGGCGAGCGGGCTCGCCCGGCAGCCAGCGGGCCCCATTTCGCTACTTTGCTAGTAGCTTCGGTCCCCCACTGGACGCGCGCGTGCCGGCCCTTGCCTGCTCTGTCGCCCCCACCCTCTCTGCCCTGGCAAACCTGGGGTGCTGCCCTGTGGCGCGGTCGTGCCGTTGGGCGGTCTCGGGGGCGGCCATGCCGTGTAGGGTTCTGGCGTAGGTTTGCGAGCACGTGTTGCTCGCCAACTTTGTCGCCAGGGCGCCCGGCAGCCCTGCACGGCTGCCCGGCACTGCGAACAGCGCCGCCCGTTGGGCCGTTGCCCCAAATGGCCGGTGATGGCCGCGCACGGCGGCGGCGCTCCCCGTTGCACGTTCCCGCCATCCCGCTCACCCCTCGGTGCCCTCTCCTGCCGCCGCAGGCCTCCCCGCCAGAGCAGCCGAGCGCATGCGCGCCGCTGCCTGCGCAGCACCCCGCACCACCCCCTCCCCGCACCCCTCCCGCAGCCCCCGCAGCAGCGCCCGCGCCAGCCATGGCCTCGGCAGCAGTGGACGCGCACGCCACCGTGACGGTGAAGCAGCACGGCTTCCACGTCAAGCAGCCGTTCCACGCCGCGGCGGCGGGCTTTGGCAGCGGGGCTGACCTCTCCCTCGAGCTCGGCTCCCTGCCCTCGCCCGGCGGCGCCTCGTCGCCGTCCGTCGCGAGGAGGGCGGCGCCCGCGGCCTGCTCAACTTCGCCACACCCTGCCCGGCGGCGGCGCTGCCCTCGGCCGCGGGACTGTCGCTGGCGCCCGCCGCCAGCGCCTGCCTGCAGCCTGCGGAGCACGCGCACCTGACGCCGGGCGTGAAGCGGCTGATGAAGGGCGTGGTGCGGGGCCTCAAGGCCCTCCAGGTCAGCACCCGCCTGGCCGCCGCCGCCGCCGCCGCCTGACCCAGCTGGCGCTGTCCCAGCGGCGCACTCCAGCCCGCCTGCCCATTCCTGCTGCCAGCCTTGCCCTGCTCTGCTGCGGCTACCCGCCACCCGCCGCTCCGCGCTCCCCACCTCAACCCGCCCGCCCGCCCGCCTGCCTGTCTTGCCTCCCTGCTGCAGGAGCCCGAGGCGGCGACGGAGGGCCTGGGCGGCACCTACTTCTTCACAAACGAGGCGGGGCAGAAGATTGCCATCATGAAGCCGTGCGACGAGGAGCCGCTGGCGCCCAACAACCCCAAGGGCTTTGTGGGGCGCGCGCTGGGCGAGCCGGGCCTCAAGCCCACCGTGAGGGTGGGCGAGGCCGCCTCCCGAGAGGTGCGCGCCCTGCCCCTGGCCCCGCCCCTGCGCCTGCCCGCAGCGCAGCCGCCGCCATGCGCCTGCCTGCCGCCACGGCCCTGCCCGCCGCCATGGCCCGGCCATCCGCTGAGCAGCCCGGGCCAGCCCGGCCCTGCTCCCGCTGCCCAGCTGCTCCTGCATGCAAGCCGCGGTGCGCAGCGATGGTGCGGAGCGCTCACTTGCGCCTCCCCGCCTCCCCCTTCCTCCCCGCAGGTCGCCGCCTACCTGCTTGACCACGACCGCTTTGCGCGGGTGCCTCACACCGTGATGGTGAAAATGACGCACCCCGTCTTCCATGTACAACAGCAGCAGCAGGCGGGCGCGGCGGGCGGCGAGGCCGGCGGTGCGGCCGGCGAGGGCGGCGGCGACGATAATTATGGCTTGCCGCCCTGCAAGCTGGGCTCGCTGCAGCAGTTTGTGCCGCACGACTGCGACACCTCGGAGATGGGCGCCTCGCGCTTCAGGTGGGGCTGGTGCTGTGGTGTGCCAGCCTGCCTGCCGCCGGCAGCCGGGCAGCAGGGCAGCCGTCTGTCCATCCGCTAGCAGAGCCTGCCGGAGTGCTTGTGCGCGCCTGCCGGGTCTGCAGCCCCCTGTCCTGGCGTCCCCGTCGGCCTCCCGGCACTCACCCTCCCCTCCCCGCCTGCCTCCCTCCCCGCCCCCTCCCCCGCCCGCAGCGTGCGCGACGTGCAGCGCATCGGCATCCTCGACCTGCGCCTCTTCAACACCGACCGCCACGCGGGCAACATGCTGGTGCGGCGCCCGCGCTCCTCGCCCTCGCTGCAGCGCATGGACGGCGCGGCGCTGCTGGAGCTGCAGCAGTACGAGCTGGTCCCCATCGACCACGGCTTTGCGCTGCCAGAGGCGCTGGAGCCGCCCTACTTCGAGTGGCAGCACTGGCCGCAGGTGGGCAGGCTGGGGTGGCTGGCGGGCGGGGTGGCTGCCTGCCTGGCTGCCTGCCTGGAAGAGGGTGGCCGGCAGGCTTGGGGCGCTGGGGCAAGGGTGGCCGCGGCGGGTGGGCCGCGGCCGGGGCAGGGGGCAGCTGTGGGGGGGCTGCCTGGCAGCGGGCGACACGCACGCGTGACACCCGGCTTCCCCACACCTCCGCCCCAGGCAGCCAGGCCCTTGCTGCCTTGAGGCTTGACGCGCCCTGCCTCGCTGCCCCGCCCCGCCCGTAGGCCATGCTGCCGTTTGGTCGCGAGGAGCTGGAGTACATTGCGGCGCTGGACGCGCGCGCCGACATCCAGATGCTCCGCCAGGAGGTGCCCTCCCTGCGCCTCGAATCGCTGCGCGTGCTCGAGGTGTGCACCACGCTTCTCCAGGCGTGCGCGGGCGCGGGGCTGACGCTGGCGGAGATTGCGGGGGTGGTCACGCGGCCGCTGATTGGCATGGAGGAGGAGCCTTCGGAGCTGGAGCGCATCTGCTTCAACGCGCGGGCCGAGGTGGAAGAGATCAGCGACAGCGACATTGAGGAGGCGGAGGAGGAGGGGCTGCTGGGGGAGGACTCGGAGGGTGAGCGAGGCTGCCTAGCGCTGCTGGTGCTGGCTGGCTGCTGGTGCTGGCTGCTGGCTGGTGCCGCTGGCTGGCGCTGCTGGCTGCCGGTGCTGGCTGCCGGTGCTGGCGCAGCGGATGAGCGCTTCTTGAGCTGGCGGGTCCACGGCGCTGCTGCGCTGCGCTGCTGCGCCCGGCCTGCCACCGGTCTGCCGCACGCGGCGCGCCCTCCTGCTTCTCGCACGCCAGCCCACCCGCCCGCTGCCCCTGCCCCTGCCGCCACCCCGCCTGCTGCTGCCTGCGCAGGCGAGGCTCATGTGGTGGCCATGCTGAGCGTGGAGGAGGAGGAGGGCGCGCCGCG